CCCCCCCCCCCCCCAGCCTGTGCCGTGGAAGCTGACGGCTCGGTGTCTGTCCCCGCAGACTGGGCGTTCGGGCCCAAGCAGGAGGAGGAGAAGGCGGTGATGGCCGAGGGGCCGGTGCCGGAGGTGGAGTGGCTGGAGGAGGACGCGGTGCTGGCGGAGAGGAAGCCGGAGGGCGAAGGCACCAGCGTCCTCCCCGGCGTGGACATCCCCCTGGGGCTGCTCACCGCCCCTCCCCGCAGCTCCATCACCTTCGCCGACCCCCACAAGAAGAGGTTTTTCTAGGGCCACCCCCCGCCTCCAGTGGGACCCCCAGCAGCCACGCGTGGCCCTTGGGTCCCGGCGCTGGCCCCAGGCTTGAGCGCAGGGGTGACGCTGCCCGGTGCTGGCATGTGGCTTCACCGTCCTTGGCATGGCCCCCCCACGCTTATCTCGGGGCTGCTATCGTCGCCCCCCAATAAAGCAGCCTGCCCTGGCCCCACTCGCTTGCCCCCTAACCAGGCATGGGGGTGGTGGCAGGGCTGGGACACCCCGACCTTCGCCTGGGGACAGCAGCAGCCCCCGGGCGCGTGGGGAGGGACACACGTGTGTGCTCACACGCCTGGACACACGTGTGGGTCTGTGGAGGTGGGGGTTTGGGGGTGCAAACCCCTGGGGTGAGGAGGGTTTGCACACACCCCGGGTGTGCACACAGACACGGGTGTGTGCCGGGGACACGGGCACATGGAAACACGGCTGCGCACACCCACGGGGAGTCTCACGTCAGCACAACCGTGCACAGACACTCGGGGACGGACGGACGGACAGACGGACAGACGGCTGTACACTGAGGCTGGATTTGCCCCTGCCAGCCGCCCTGGTGCCCTGATGCTGCCAGGACATGTCCCCCCCGATGGATCACAGCTCAGTGGCACCCACAGGTCCCCCCAAGCCAGTCTTGGGGGGGTGAAGCACCCACCAGCCCCACTTTGGCTCTGGGTGGTGGCACTGGAGATGGGGGCCGTGTCGTACAGCCCCCCATCCCCTGCATCAAACCCAGGCAGGGGCTGGTTTCTGCCCTCATCCCCCCAGTGGGGACCCTGTCCCCATCTCCCCAGGCCCAGGGTGCCCCTGCTGGAGCCCACACTCCATCCCAGGGTGCCCAACTGGCCACCCCGTGCCTCAGTTTCCCCTGTGCCCGGCGGGTGGGGGCTGGGGGGTGGAGCGGCTCGTCCTGCCAAGGTCTCGCCAATAACACCGTTAATATTTAGCTCTTCACGGTACCCGGGCACTTGCCGGGCGCGTGATGGGGTTCCCCTGGCACCAGCCACGGCATCTGGGGCTCAGCTGGCCTGGGCATGGCTGGGGGCTGGGAGGGGGGGAGGGGGATGGCCTGGCACTGTCTGCCCCCCCAGTGCTGCCCTGTCCCCGCAAGGTGGGAGATGTGTCTTTGGGGATGGGACACTGGCCCGGGTCTGCCCCAGCCCTGCCAGCGGGGATGGGGGTGCAGTGCCCCAAGGGCAAAGGGGGGAGACTGGGATGGGGCAGCAGGTGGGGGGCACACGTGTCTGCACATCTGTCTGTCTGTCCATCCATTTGTTCATCCACCCACCCGTCCTTCCGTCCATCCATCTGCCTGTCCATCCACCCACCCACCCATGCTTCCATCCATCCATCTGTCCGTCAACCCACCCATCTGTCCGTCCGTCCCTCCCTCCACCCACCCATCCATCTGTCCCTCCATCCACCCACTCATCCCCCCGCCCGCCCGTCCATCTGTCCGTCCCTCCCTCCTCCCACCCACTCACCCACCCCAGGGTGGACCCAAGCCCTGGCCATGGGGTTGCCAACTGTGGTCCCCAGAGTGGTGGCCGCTGGGTGCCACAGGGTGCTGGTGGCTGAGCCGGGGGGAGAAGTGCCACCTCCCAAGGGTTACAGGAGCCGTGTTGCCATGGCACTCGGTGGCACTTGTCCTCTTGAGCCCAATAAAAGCCGCCCGTTGGCCCCGGGTGCAGAGAGCGGCGCCAGCACCCAGCCCCAGCAGCAGCGCGGGAGAGGAGCCCACCTGGGGGTGCAGGACCCGGTCGTGCCCCACTCCCATCCCAAAAATGCCGAGGGCCCCACAGCCCCTCTCGCTCCTGGTCCTGCTCGTCCTCGTCGCCACCGCCCAGGGACAGGCCGGTAGGTGCCCCCGTGGCCCCCCTGTACCCCTGCACCCCGGGGTGCCCCAGGGGGTGGCGGCTGCGCCCGTCCTGGGGCATCGGGTCAGATCCTGGGAGACCTTCCCAATAGGACCAGTCTGTCCCAGTGCCCCAGTGGTACCCAACCATTTTGGGTGCAGAACAGACAGATTTGGGGGCACCTGCCTGCTGTCCCCAGTGCCCCCGACCAGGGGTGGCTTCCTCAGCACCCAAGGGACAGCGGGGAGGGGGTGGCAATGAGCACTTGACAGTGTCCCCAGTGTCCCTCGGTGCTGGGCTCAGCACAGTTGGGACCCTGTTCCATGGGATGGGGGCTCCTGTCCCCTGCGGGATGGGGTTCCCTGAAGTTGTCCCTGTCCCCATCCCCCTGCCGTGCAGTCACCAGTTCCACGGTGCTGGAGCCCTGGCTCCTGGGCCTCACGGCTGTTGTCGTCTTCCTCTTCATCGTCTTCGTGCTCCTGCTCATGAACCGGCTCTGGCGGATCAGGATGCGCAGGTGGGACAGTGGGACGGGGACACAGCCCGCACCCGCCTCACTGGGGGCAGGGGGCGGCCCACCCCGGGGGGGGGCACAGGTTCTGGTGGTGCCCGAATCTGGGGGCAGGCCGCTCCCCGGGCACCGCTCACCCCCTCTGTCCCCTCGCAGGAAGCGGGGCAACGGCCAGGACACCCCGGGGACTGACAGGTACCACCGCGCGGGCGCCGTGGGGCTGGCACCCCGGGGATGGCCACGTGCTGGCGGTGCCGTCCATGGCTCGGCGGTGCCGTGCGTGGTCCGGCGGTGCCGTGCGTGGCCCCGTGTGCCCTTGGCACGGCCGAAGGTGAGGGTGAGGGCCGCGAGCGCAGCCGCCATGCCCGGCTGACCCCTCTCCTGCCCCACAGGCTGGAGCGCATCGGCCACGTCAACCCGGCGGCCGAGGAGGAGAGCGACGACGAGGAGCGCAGGAAGGCCACCCCGCTCTGAGGCGGTGGCTGTGTCCCCCCCGCCCTCGCCCACCCGGTTCCCCCCGTCCCTGGGGACGCCCCGTCGGGCCCCGCGCCCTCAGCCCCGTCCGCGGGAGGCGGATCCGCGCCGGGTTTTGCGGCGGGAGGTGCCGCGGCGGCCCCGGCTGCCGCCAAGCCCCGGCCTGGATCCGCCGCCCGACGGAACGGACCGGGAAGGGCGGTGGCCGGCGGCAGGAGCAGGGCCC